ATAAGTTTTCAAACTATTTTATATTTTTTTATTTTTACAATTAAATAAAGATTAATATTACGCTATACATCTTTAAATGAAGAAATGCAAAATTTATTTTAAATTATGAAACAATTTCGACTAAATAGAATATGTATAAATAGCGTGCACATATATTGAGAGATATAATTTAAATATAATTTACTTTTTTGATATAAAGAATGCGGAGTAAGACGAAAATGACAAAATTATACAATTCAAAGTAACAAAAAATCATAATTTGAAATATTTAATAAGAATTTCATTTTTGTATATGTGAGAACATGAAATGTCTAAGATATTTCATGAACTGTGTATGTGTAATGAACCTAAGAAATAAAGCAAAAATCGTACAGTAAAACCTAGATATTCATCGAAGAATATTAAATCGATATAAGAAATTGTTTCATTCCGCGACGAAAAATACTAATTTATAAGTTATTCTTTTTTTCACTTAATATAAAGACAAGTTATTTATATACTAATATACAAGGCTTAGTCACATTTAATAAAATTATTTAAAATATATATTTTTAATAAAACAGATAAAAAGATTATTTAGTATTTATTATTTTCAGTAACTTCTTCCGATCTACTTCTTAAGTAATATTTTAAATATAAATAGTTTTCGGAACTTATTTTATATTTTTTAAATAAGTTGTATCAATCAGGGGATCGGTCGTATTTAAAACAATTTTATTTAAAATATGTATTTTATAAGTAAAGATAATAAAGCAGTTATTCAATTTATTTATTTAAAAAAAACTTTTTCCGACTTATTCCTTGTTTAATATTTCAAATAAATTTTTAGAATTTAAAGTACGATGTTTCGTATTATCTGATATAGTATTTGTCACAAATATATTTGAAAAAGAATTATGTGTAGAAGAATGGCACAGCTATCTGTTTACACGAACGATAAATGAATGACTACGCAGTGGATGATAACTGTGCGTGAACATGACGTGCCCGATGCCGCCCGCCCGCTCTACCAACCCTATCAAAACAAATCCCAAGGCCGTACGTTAATCGTCTAATCGTCGAAATATTAACGCATATTATGAAAAAAGTAAAATAATCTATTCGCTATATTTTTTATATTTTCCAAGAGATGAGAGACTTTATTTCTTAGATTCATTACGCACTCACACAACTCATTTATATCTTAGCTATTTCAAATAGTGTTATAGTATGCGCGCAATGTACGCAATATTTTTAACAAAATATATAGATAGACGTATTGTGGCCAAAAGATAGACCTTTTGTTACTTTTGAATCATTTAATTCTGCATTTATGTTTTATTTCGCATTCTTAATCCGTACTATTGCTTCACAGAAATAAAATATATATACGCGATCACACAACATATAAAATCATTAAGGTTCGATGATTTTAAACGAGGCTTAAAACTTTATCTCGTTTTAAAGCGAAAGAGAGACAGAGAAAGTTTTAAGCCAAAGTTTAAAGGCAAAGTAACGTGGTGCGATCGGATTTAAGGCATATAGAATACACGAATTATAAATCACTACAGTTTTATTTCAATTAGTATCATATTTTAATTTATGTTAGTAATATTCAACAAATTTCGTATATTGCATTGTGAATTTCATTCTTTTTATCGTTTTTTTAGTATCCGTTTTTTTAATATCCGTTAAATGCATACGAGGGACCGTATCTACCGTACTTTTTTTGATAGATTAAGTAGTTCAAAAAATATTTAAAAATTCATGTAGCTTCCTTAATTATTGTAGATAAAAGATTTATACATTGATCTTCTATTAATCTTTAATAAATCTTGTTTAAATCTCTCTTTATTTAATTATTTTATTTTTACAAAAATGTAAATACAAATGTATGATAATAATATTATACAAAAAATTATAACTTTTAATCAAATCAATGAAATCTAATTATTAAAAAAGAAAAATAAAGTTTAAAGTTCATATTTTAATAAAAAAAATACATGCTAACAAATCTTTTAAATTTAAATGCTTAAGTTTGAGACATAAAACCTTACAATTTCGAAACTTATAAAATTGACATTTAAAATTCATTTTTTATTCAAAATCTATAATCTCATACTTTCGTAAATAAAAAATATATATACGGGATACCATAAGAGAACGAAGAAATTGTAATATCTCTTCTGCAGAGCAATTTGCCATTTTTAAAATAACACTGAATAAAATATATATGTGTTTACTTATAAAAATTTTACTTATAAAAATAGTCAAAAAATACAAAAAAAAAATCATTTTCTTATTTGTACGATAAATATATGTTAAGTACAGAGATTATTTATGTCCGCGCTCGATTTTGAATATCCGCTGCTCAGCGAGAAAATGATGTTCACTGCCAGACTTTTACCACCTCACAAGTTTTTTTAGGAACAAAAACGGCGCGTCTGTACTTGTTTTCAAAATATTCATAATTTTAAAAATTGCCTGAACACAAATGACCCCCATCTACAGGATGAGAATTAAATATATAATTTACAACAATAATTCACTTTTTTTGCAATGCTCTTGATGAAAATAAATCGCCGAAATCGCTGAAATAAATCTATCTAAATTAATAATAAAGATTTTAATGATTTCAGCAATTTATTTTTATTAGAAGTAAAAACAAATGAATATTGACCGGTATTCATAGTCAGATATTATATTCATTAAGAAGTCACGAACCAATGAGAGGGCTGTATTAATGTCTTAAGATATTACTTAGGGCTGTCGCACACACTTTCCGTAACAGTAACCATAAGACATGCCGTAAGAATCAGCCAATCAGAATTAATAATTCAAAAGAATACTTGACTGTGATTGGTTAATTCTTAAGACATTAATACAGCCCTCTAATTGGTTCGTGACTTCTTAATGAATATACCTGACTATGAATACCGGCCAATATTCATTATTTTTACTTCCGATAAAAATAAATTGCTGAAATCATTAAAATCTCTTAAGATGATCTTGAAATAAGAACAGACTATGAATACTAGAGAACCTCATAGAGAGTGGCAAATTATATCACGTGATCCATCTCCTCTGATTGGACATGGACATGTCAAAGCTCCATAAGCATGGAAAAGATTGGAGGAAAGTCACGTGATCCCCGTCCTGATTGGACGTGGCATTCATATGATGCATTTGCACTCTCTTCCTGTGAGACTCTCTAATAAATACCACTATCTGATACTGCCCATTGTGCAATTGCGGACATCCACTTCTTCAGAAGACATTAATGTGTAGGAGCATTTTGCAATTATAGGAAAAAGGCCCTTATATCCTTTCTCAAGTTTCTCTCTAGTTGCTGCTTCCACTGCTTGACGCTTGACGTGTATGTGAATGTACCTTAAAAGTTGCAGAATGAAATGAGGTCTATTAGCCTTAATTAGGTCTAATAGCGTTGCATACACTTTTTATGTTCAGCATTTTTGCTTTCTCTCTTTTCAACGTCCAAATATTTATCTATCTTATTTTAAATGCAAAAATATTGGAGAATTTCAAACAATAGACCAATAGATCGTATCTTGTTTATATCGAGAAGTATCGATAGAAATCGATATCTAGGTATCGATAAGTCTTAGCTGATCCGGGGGCAAAGATGTCTGTTAGTGCGGCGGAGTGGAATATCATCATTTGCTTTGCCGGACGTTTGTGAGTAAATATCAGCTGGATGCATAGCGCTATTCCGCGATAGCGTGCCGACGTGCGAGCGCGACGACATTAGGGATCTTCACGGCTGTTCCACGAGAGAGAGCCACGACGATGGGCCTCTTTCAGACCTCCTCGCCCTTCGACGCTGACGTCGGTGAGTAATATCTTCGATTTCTTACGGTCCCCTTATCTGATACGCGCATCAGCAAATATCATGGTCGAGTACACTGCCTCTCACTGTATATATTATCGCGAGAGCCTGCGATTATTCTTTGTGGATTTACGCGAGGAATGATTCGTTTTCTGCATTGGGCGTATTAAACGGTTGTTGACATTTGACCTCCTCCGACCACATCGTCAGATCTTTCATGCTATTTCTCCGCTCACTAAATTCGACTTTCGCGTTTTTTGACGCACTGATCTTTACACGCGAGACAACAGCGATTTCACGCCCGATGATAGTTTTCCGCATGATATCTCATCTGGGTGAAATCGTAACACGATTTTAGAAAACGTCAATCCCTTTGTTACATTTTTATCTGTGACGTCTGCAAGTTGACCCATTATTAGCTTCTTAATTATCTTTTAATCTTTTTATTAAAAAGAAACTTACTTTCTTGATTATGCATGTCATCGAATACCTATTTAAATCATGATTTGTGATTATATTGGATCAGAAAAGGCAACTAATGAGAACAATGTAACGGAAGAATGGGGAAAGATAATGGATATTTGTGATAAAGTCGGCACCTCCAGTCAAAACGCTAAGGACTGTTTACGTTCTATCGTTAAAAGATTATACTGTCAGGATCCTCATGTGGTCATGCAAGCTATAACAGTTAGTACATTCTTTAACAATAAGGTATGATTTTATTAATGTAAGATTAACTTTATTTTTAGAATCTATTCTTTATCTTTTTCTAATTCTTAGAATTAGAAAAAAATAAATAATAAGTTAAACTGAAATTAATCTTACTTTAATGGAATCTAAATATCTCAACGTATTTCATCAAGTTTTTAATTTTTCATTATTTATTTAGTTGTTAGATGCTTGCGCCAGTAATTGTGGAAAAGTTTTCCACTTGGAAATTGCGTCCAGAGATTTTGAAAATGATTTAAGAAAGCTTATTAACCATCCACAACCGAAAATAGTAGATAAAATCAAAACACTTTTGAAAAAATGGGTAGAAGGTGATTTTAAGACAGATCCACAATTGAATCTAATTCCAAGTTTATATAACAAACTGAGAAGCGAAGGCTATGATTTTTCTTCTGTTTCGGATACGGTGAGTTTCTAGTTTGTAACATTATTACTGTACCTTTATTCTATTAAATATATTTATGCAAAATTGAATATTAAATTATAAATGCAAACTAAATTGTATTTAAATTAGTCAGATAATTAATATTTATTGATAACATGTGTTCCTTTTATATTGCATCACATAAGTAGTACTTTATATACTCACTTGCATGCACTTTAATATATAGATCAACTATATAACACTATTAATTCAATATTTTAAAATCTTTTTTTAAAATGTCAAACATATTTAAAATGCAATGTCTTTTAGCCAAAACGTTCTAGCACTTTAAGCAGAGATCCTAATGTAGTAACAAATTCGCAAGAAGAATCAGATATCGCAAGAGGTAAGCTTAATATTGTTTCCATTATATATTGATAATGTGTTTTTATTTTATTTTTATTATATATTTTTATATTTAATTATTATTATTAAATGATATTTTATAGCCATACAACTTTCGTTACAAGAAAGTAAAACTCATACTCAAAGCACTTCATCGCATAGCTCGCCAGCCTCTAAAAAAAGCACTAGTTTATATCCTAGTATGAATTCTGTGGTTGGAGCATCTAACACTTCTCAAGAAGGCAGAAAAGTACGTGCTCTATATGATTTTGAAGCTGCAGAGGATAATGAACTGACATTCTTAGCAGGAGAAATAAGTATGTACATGAAGATTATATGAAAGTATAAACGACATGATGATAAATATTAGAAATGAATTTCTAATTTTGAATTTGGTTTTTTAGTTAACATTTTGGACGATTCTCATCCAAATTGGTGGAAAGGTAGTAATCAAAGAGGCGAAGGACTTTTTCCCTCCAATTTTGTTACTGCTGATTTGTCTGTTGAACCAGAAGAATTTACAAGTAAGATATATATGATTTAATAAATTTTTTTATGCACTCTAAAGTTTAAATGTCCTCAAATTTTTATTATATTTTTGTGATTGAATTAATGCAAGATATATTTATGTGTAGAATTGGAACATAGTAACAAGAAATTAGTGCAATTCGCAGAAGAAGTAGAAGTAAAAATGGTAAAACGTGAACCTGAAGTGGTGGAAGTTGAAATAGATGAAAAGAAAATGGATAGATTATTACATCTGCTTCACGAAGCTGATCCACAATGTGATACCTCCGATCCTCAGGAAATGCTCGATTTAGAAGGTAATTATGAATTTTGAAAATATTAAGTTAGAATAATATTATAAATATATTCACTATTTCCATCTATTACATTTTGCAGAACAAGTCACGGCAATGGGACCTTTGATCGACGCGGCTTTGGAAAAAGTAGACAGGCGGCATGCGCAGCTTACTCAATTAAGTTCTGATTTGGTCGACGCTCTTAATTTGTATCACACCTTGATGAGAGAACCTCCAACGCCGTCTGGTTACACTTTGCCTAAAATGCAGCCACATATAAATCCTTATCCATTCCACAATCCGGGACCACCACCAACGCATGTAAGTACATCTTGACATACTATATTCTTCAATAGAAGAATGACATTGCTATATTCTTTAATAGATGTTTAATGGTATGCCGCCTTCTCCGTTCCCCACTGGAGCTGCCTCAGGTCCGGTGGGACCATATAACGCGAATTTGCCAAGCACCGAGTACATGGGTCCTACCAGTATGCCAAACATGACTTTACCCCAACATTTTCATGTTCAATCAGGATCCCGCCAACATCCACCTGGACACTCACAAGGGTCATCTTTGCCGCCGCCTGATCAAACTAATCTACCTTATCAACCACAAGGGTATGTTTAAAAATATGCTTGATTTTTTTCCTTTTACCGCAACGTTGATTCTAAAGCTCGCTATGATCAAAATTATTATAAGAATATTTTCAAGTTTCATGACATTTCTTACATTTAAATTACAATACATTGTCACATAAGCGTATGTGCAAATACATACAATACATCTTTTTATGTTATACATCTTTTTATGTTATTATACAATATATGACAATATTCTTTAATTGCATGTTTTATCGATTGAATGTTATGTTTTGCTTTTCTTTTTTTAACACAAGAAGTGATAATTTAATATATTACGTAGCAGATATCCACCTCAAAGCGGCCCAGCACCCGGGCCATATGGTCCGCCTGGACCTACAGGACCTATAAATCAGCAATCGCAATATGCTCCACCAAACGGGCAACACATGATGTAAAGCAAAATTATGCGTTACAAACTCATCTTGTACTCTAATTCAAGCTGTACAATATTACTATATTATAATTATTTAAATAAACATACCCAAAGTAGCCAAAGATAATGGGTTTTTAATAAAAATTTTATGTTTTAGGATGTACTATTTTATAAGTATGTACATGCAATTAGGAAAAGCAAAGCAGAAAGTGACTTATGTTGCCTACATCACGTTCATATTAGTGTAACTGTTAAATATTTATTGATTCAAACTGTTCAATTTTTATTTATACATTCCTTTAATCGATTTGATTTCTGTTATTTAATTATTGATTGATTCACATGGTCAGAAAAAATATATATAATTTGTCTACAAAAATATGTTAAATCCCATATTTCTATAAATTATTTAAAAAAATATTTTTCTTACAATTTTATATATATAAAAAAAAGATTAATTATTCGTGCTTTGTTTTATATTTAAGTTATAAACCTTGTCACATATATATTTCTCATAAAAGTTGTAATTTCATTTTTTTAATATTACATATATTTTTAAATAATATGCAATTAAATAATATGTCGTAAAAATACACGAAATACGAAATTTGGAATTTGTGTACGAAAAAAAAGCTCAAGGAGTGTTTTATAGTTTTCTACTCTGTCATCGATCAAGTAAATACAAAACGGAGATTGCAATGTGATTATTAGGAAACGAAGTGATATTATTGTTAAAGGAATGTTGCAATCACAGTGTTAGATTCTTTTAATTATCGAACAATGGTTGAAACATCTTTTGCAAGAAAAATGTCTCAATATGTCTAGTCTCCCCATTGTGTACAATAAGACTAATTTCTATTGACAGCTTAAAAAAATAGCGAGACTGCGAGAAATTTTTTATCAATTGTTAAATAATAAGTGATATTGTATATACGACGAAACATTCTATCTTGAATATTAATGGAAATGGCTGTTTGGCTATTGACGATATATGAAAATTACGTTATATGTTAACGAGTTTCATTCTCCACAGTGCATAATCATTTAAAGCGTTCAACTTCTAATGTAAAAGATAAGAAAGAGAAAAAAGTACACAATGATATTGCGGGCGAAGCTTACGCCTCAAAATCTATATGAAAACATAATTTAAGATTTAAGGCATAATTTATAGGGACAAAACGATAACGTTTTTGTAGCAGCGAATTCTGTATATTGTACACTGTAAGCGAATGAAGTTGGAAACGAGATAGAAATTAAAAGCGAGATAAATAACACATCTTATGGAGAGTAGGCGTTATTTATGCTGTGTATGTTACGTTACCATTAAAGTGGCTTTATTTATATAATCAACCATCGCTTCTATTTCTTCTTTTTTTTTTATTCATAAACGGCGATTCTGACAGAAGAAAATCTCGCGACTAAAAGCAACTATGTATACTATGTAAATACTGCAAAAAAAATACATTTTTCGAAATGTTCACTTACATTCCTTATCTACTTAATATAATACTTTTCCTTACATTGCAGTCATGTTGATGAAATAATGAGTATTATAAAAAAATTATCATTATCATGTAACGATTTAACAGATAAATATCATCCCTTAAAGTACAACAATCATGCACAATTTCGGTATCCAGGATCTTTCAGTGCTCAAAATATTATATAATTGCTATATATATTCTGCATTTATATGTAATACGTTACGTTTATGGATTTTTCGCAATACGTCATTCTTAACTAAACAACTTAATAATGCATACCATTATCGCTGATTGCAGATTGTAGTCAATGAAGAATGAATTTTTTTTTTCATTGTCATATTTACTTTTAAATCGTACCTATATTGTATTTACGTGAAAAGGTGCTTATTAAGTTTTCGCTTTTTTTCTCGCCATGTTTTTTACTATATTGACCTTCTGATATTTTACAGTAACAATCGCTTCTTAATAGTCATTAATGATACTCGAGAATTATTTAAAATTTTATAATAAGTTGCCGCACAACGCCTGAAGATATACATGTAGATATACAGGGAATAATATAATTCTCCGTAACGGAAGATATACGATTGATGGAACAATGAATTAATGATTGAAAAATCCCGCAAACAAGTCCCGTTATTAATCGTTTGTTTTTCTTATATAACATGCATCCGCGTGCATAAATTTCAATTAATTTTTGTTCTCGAGCGTAAGTTTTATTCTCATGCAATTCTCCTTTAATTCATGAGGTTTATAAACTATTTATAAAAGTCAAACTGTTCTTTGTTATAATATATAATTATTTTATTTTATATTTTATTTTGCATTATACTAATGTTATATTGCCCGTGTATACAATTATATTATCAAAAGTTTTTGATACTGTATTATACTATGTACGTATGTATATATGTGTGTGTGTGTGTGTGTGTGTGTGTGTGTGTGTGTGTGTGTGTGTGTATTACACAAATTTAAATAGATAAATAGATAATATATTTATGAACAATTACGTGTAAGAATTTCCTAAGCAATTTTGCAAATATTCATGCATGAATAACATAAGCATTACTTAACGCCTGATGAACGAATAATAGTGAGCGTATTTAACATCTAATGAATTATTCCAAAACGTGAGAAAATTTATACAACCGCCTATAACGGTATATACAAGTGTATGCGTACAAATGCTTAATTATTCTAGTATTAATACCATTAATTATTCGCCCTTTCAATGCATTGCGTTGAAAAATAAATTCTTTTAACTAATGCACATTTTTGTTTATTTTATGACATTTTTTTTTAATTAATATATATAGATTTTTTTCTATATAAATACTCAGTGTTCAGACAATTGCATTCATTTATATTACATGATATATTTTTTATGTGATATATTTCGTTAAAAAATATTATAGTCGATATTATTCGTATACAGTTTTCTCATTTTTGATGTGCTGTATTTTCATTGAACATGTCATTTCTTTTATGGGCCATTTGTGACTCATATCATTTCACACATCAGATGATGGATCGACATAACTTCCTCATATAACTATTTTATTGATAAAATCATTAGAATAATGAGTAGCTTTCCTTGGCAATGGCATTTCTTAGATCGACAATGGACCGAGCAACCTTGGCATTAACATTCTAGATCTCTCGGTTTCGTTTCCAAGCCGCAGACAAGACTTCGTGACTATCAATCATGATAGTCGAGCCGTAAAATATCTAGTCATGTAATAAAACAAAAAAATTCTAACTTACTCTTCTCTCTATTCTTTATCAATGTTAGCAATCATTCATTATTAACGTTTATCAGTAATCACTATATATAATGATTAATATCTTTATATAGTATTTATTTATATAAATCTATTAATCATTATTAATTAAGCTTACAAAAGAAGTAAAATCTAATTTCTCACATCATAATATAAAAATATAAAAATTATGTAATAAACTTTTATAGAATTTTAATTTAAAACTTGATTTTGAATTAAAAGATATATAAACGATATAAAGATATATATACGATATTAAAACTTGTGATAAATGATTATTTTATTTTATTTTTTTCTCTTAATGTTTTCATCAAAAAGGAATAAATAAAAAATTAAATTTTAAATTTTCTACATACTATAAATAACGGAAAATTTTTATGATAGAAAACTGCAATCCTACTCTCTTCACTGTGTTTAATGTTCTAAATACCATCAACCTCGAATTATAATTTTTTTATTAACGATGTTTTGTTCTATCACTTTTACTACTCTCGTATGTAGCTCAAGGCTAGTGCAATTGTTTTTCTAGATCTAGGATCGAATCATCTCAAGTCAGATATTCGCACGAATATGTCTCAATAATCGAAATGGATTTGTATTTTTTATTTAAACATCTAAACCGTTTTGCTAGAATATTTATTTTATAATAAGAAATAGATGTTTGATTATATCAGTGAATTACGAAATACAATTATTTGATCAATTAATTTTTTTAAACAAGCATTTGAAACCATTCCTAGAAAATTCACAAAGATATTGCAATCGATTTAAATGATAACGAAATTTATTTTCTCAATTAAAAGATATCATATTTTAAACACAAACAAATTTATGGAACATAAAGAAAAAGATCTCGAAAAGATTGTATTGTCGTACAATCAAAATATAAAACTATAGTCTGGTTACTTGAAGCCGAATTTTAAAATTAATAAATCTGAAATTATTGTTATTGCATTTCTTTCGTAATTCTGTTACTGCAGCACTGAGCAAGAAATCACGTTAGCATAATTATTATTATTTTGATTGTAATATTAGCAATAAAGTATATAAATTAATCTGTTGGTTCTTTGTACATACTAATAAAATCTGATGTTATTTACTTTATAAATAACTTCATAGAATTTATATTATAAATAATTCCATGATATCTTCTCTTGCAGTCTTTACTAAATGATTCATTAAAGCAAACGGCTCAGTTATACTTTAAAATGCAATATCAGATGGTACTATCTGTATGAGAAGAACAACTTTAATTTATTTCAAGTGTCACCTTATTAAGCAATATATTCTGCATTATGCAACAGTCTTCCTATATCTACAAACTTTAGCGTTAAAAATTAATAATTATTGCGGGTATGTATGCATTAGTTCTCAAATTTCGTGATCATAGATAAACGTCCACTTCGAAAGGTCAGGCTTCTATCGGCCATCAGATTGGCTGTAGATTAAACAGTAGTAAAATGTCTCATGGAAAAGGTTGTGCATTTCATTAGAAGTATATTTGATATTTAACAACGATTGACCTTAGGAACCATGTGAATATGATCTGCGAATTTAATGGATGGCGCGGTGCGCTTGCATTAAGCATATTTGAAAGCATAAACTATAAAAATTAATAATTAATCTTAAACGGTCTAGCTGGATCTTAAATACTTGTATGATTCTATGTGAATTTATATACTACGTATGTAGTCCTTTGAAACGCGCGCTATAATGATTTTTTAGTCTTGAAACGTCAACTCTACTAAACTCTACTATATATACTACTATAATACTAAACTATTCTGCTAAACTATTCATGTTTGAAAGATCATCAAATTCGCAACACGACGATCTAATCTACATCAATGTATGATAATTACGAATATTGAATCACGATAATCTTTTCGTTGTATGTATATAATAACTGGAAAAATTAATAAATTTTTAACTTTATAATATTT